GAATAATCTTAGTGCTAAATTTCCCTTTGCCTAAGGGACAGTTAGGGGAAGGAACTGGTTTTTTTTCCAAATTTAGGGAGAAAACAGCACATTTATAGCAACAACAATCTTGCCATCAATCCCCATTCTTAGACTTTTCTTTGTACATTTACTGGCCAGCACACCCAAGTAGAGTGGTGGGAAATGGGAGTGGTGAGTGTCGTAATGACAGCTTGAAATCATAAACACACTGCTTGGTTCCCAAACATTCACAGAGATAGGCTATACCTTAACTAACTGAAGATAAGAAAAAACGAGGCAACAGGAAGGGAATTTAGGATTAGCACTTGCTCATCCTATCAGCTACAGTTCATCTCTATGACTGTATTACTATAACATTTCCTACTATCAGATGAGTATTTTGGTAGTGGAATAATACCTCAGGCAAGATTGCATATATACTACTAAATTGATAGTTTAACCATTATAAAAAATGTGTCATTCTAGTACTTGCTGTAACTAATAATTTACGTAACACTGACATACAATGATTCTGTAATTGTAACATATAGCTGAAAAACCAACTGAATTCAGACACCCATGCGTTTCAAGGAGTGCTTTAAAATACCAGACAGGGATTTGGGATAAGTTTTGTTCTTTGTAGAGAGAAGATGCCTTCCCTGGATGGTACACTGAAGGGCATATTTTATTCTAAACATGTTACAAGAAATAAACTACTTCACAGCTGCACCAATATGCAGGATAAAGAGCACTACACACCCTAATCCACAGTATGCTTAACAAAACCATCTTCAGTTCCATACCTAATACAGAAACCTAATACAGAAACAATCCTTCTGCAGGCAAATATAATGATGTATCTGATAGCTGGTGATATGCCAGCTTGTACACTGGAGCATGGAGTTCAGAACTCATGCATTTCTTTTAATGGGAAGAAAGAGCAGCATACTTCAGTCACATTTTATTTACAGCATATTTAGTTGTCACTGTTTGGTTGAGGATTTTTTTAAAAAAAAATTTCCCTCATAAGATGAAACATTATGTTCTGACATACCTAAACTACTTAAAAGAGTAGACAACAGATGGAAAATCCAGTGTTATCCTACCCAGATTTCTAATCAAAGGAAACTAACTTTGATTTTGACTTTGGATTCCTTTTAGGCAGGAAGAGACTTAGCTAGATCTTGAATGTAAACCAAGTATCAGCAACTGGCAACAAAGAAGAATGATAACTTAAGTCAGGTTCCCATATAGATAAATTAGTATGCAGTCACATGCTGATATTAAATGTTTTTTTTAAAGTTTAGTAATCACCTGTCTTAAAGAGTAATTAAAATGTAAATAAAGCTCTGTGAGATAAAATTAAGATGAGTTCAAACCCTGGTTAACAAATTTGGCAAGTCTGATGTTATTTGACAGCTGATTAGATTAAACAGCTGTTAATTACCTACATTTTAAATGGCTGACATTCCTAGTTTCAATTTTCCTGTATCTTCTTTAAATCTTCACTTGAGCTGTTTTGAATATGTGCTGTTCTCAAAAAAGGTCCCATGTGATTAGGTCATTATGCTGAGGAACATAGGTGACAGGGTGCTATTGCACCTATGTCCTGTCTGTGGGGTTTTCTGTGGACAACCACTTTGCCAATGCATGAATAGAATGAATGGCTTAGATGAATCTTGGTTTGATCCAAAATGGCTCTTCTTAAGGATAAGTATGACATTTGAAAGTGGGGTAAAAATGCAATGGATTTTCTCAACTTGGCCCTTGGATCCTATTCTGACAACCCAGCACTGAGAGTGACACAATCTGATGCTAGCCAAGACAACATGCAGACTTCCATTTTTAAAACAGACTGTAATTGTCTCTCTGTCTTTCTGCCAAAGAAAAATGTGCAAAGATCAAGTCTCTGCTGTATAATTGTGCAAGTTTGGAGCAAGGGTTTGAATTTTGCATAAATTGGAAGTCAGAAAATTGTAAGTGGCCAAGGGTGGAATGGATGTGCAGTGGGAGAAGGCTGCTTCCATCTTTTTCATGTTAAATGGATAGTTAAATCCTACAGCAGAATAACAACTCAAATGTAATGAATTTGCCCCAATGTGTATAAATTGCTCTGGAGATATGCAGTACTCTACTGCAAATCTGCACAAATATTTCAAGCTATTTTGTGGAAGCTGAAAATTAAAATATGACTTGGACTATTCTTGGCTGTCAGGTCAAAAATGTGCTAAAGGTCTATCAATTTCAAAGAGAGTAAGTTTTACAGTATCACACAAACCTAGCTCTTATGTTCTTAATGCCAGATAAAATAGAGACAAGGAAAGGGCTGCTTCAAAAATTGAGAAGGCAGGCCAACCAGTTAGAAATGCTATGGTATAACTGGCATCTGGATTAGCCTACCCTGAGGTGGTGCCTTCCAAATGTTTTTAACTGTATTTTCCAGCATTTTTGACCACTGGTTATACAAGCTAGGGCTGATGCAAATTCTAGTCCAAAACACCTAGATTGTGCCACACTGGGGAAGGCTGATCATTTATTTGTACCTTTAGTTCATATTCAAAACAACCCCATCCAAGTTTCCATTCAGTACATATATAAAACTTCCATTAGGAACAAGTTCCCATTAGTCTGGGGAAGGAAACACATGATTCTGTGCTTCTGATTGCTTAGTTACTGTTAGGACAGTTCCTTCTAAATCACCTTTAAAATTTCCCTTTCCACCTATTATTACAAATACATGCTGAATATTAAGCATTAAGTAGTGGATACTTGATTCTTAACCAACCTCACCAACTAGAATTATATCCTACCAATCAACTAACTAGTTTCAAAGCCTACTTTTTAAACAGTCCTTTTAAAAATATGACAGAATAAACACTAGTAACTTCATCGCACCAGGGCTTCATACATTCTCCAACAAAACAGCTTTATGTTGGTTGTGAAGACAGGAAAATGACATTTTGTCGTTAGGCATCAAACATTGTGCAGGCCATCAATAATTCTTTTTAATTTGCTGAGCCTCAAAGACAAGTTGGAGTTGCTAGGGCCCACAGCATGCCTGAGCAACAGTGCATCAAACAGAAGATAACTATGCTAGGTTGACCACTCCAAATGCAGTTAGGAGTGAAAAAGCAGCTACTTCTGCTTCCTGCAGAGACTGCAGTTTCACAAGGAGAAAGAATATTTGCATTGCAAATGCTGCCTGTCCCCAAATAAACAGCTTTAAAAGCCAATTATAGTCCAGTCTGAGAAATCAGAACACCAAGTGAAGAAACTCAGTATTAAGTAACACAAATCTAACATTTGAGAAAAATGAAACATTCAAATTATATGTAATGGTCAACACAAAGAGTGACATAAGTTAAATTATTTTAATCACTTTGACTAAAGGATCATCTAGTGTTTCTATCTGCTATCTGACTGGCTCTGTCAACCAATCCTATTGCTGGTATAGTCAGCCATGGTGAATCGCTTCAATATGTGTTCAAAGCAAATGCATGCCACCATTATAATGCAACCAATGCAATGGATGCAGGGTATTTTCAAAAAGTCATTGCTTATGGCAAGGGAAGCATGTTAAAACTAACACTTACAGGCTTGGATCCCAGTATAACTTAAGGAACTCTGCAGTTCCTTACAACTCATCCCACATTGTTCAGGAACATCATTACTTCCATCCTCAAGAGAGGCTTCTCACAGGTGACCAGTAACTTTTCCTAGATTCATTTCCTTTAGATTAATTAATTTTAGGATCCAGATCACTGACTGTAAACCTGAATCATGGTCCTAACAGTGTTTTAAAGGCTGCTTTTCTATGTAAAAGTGATCTATGAGGTAAAATATGATTTTGAAGGTTAAGCATTATGTACCACACAATAAATCATGCTTTATCCTTGCACATCACCAACAGCAACTCAATAATGCGAAACTCTAAGAATTTCCATCTGGTATCTTACCAGAATCATCCATTAAGCCCATATAGATGGTCTTGTACTCCTATGCTATGCCCTCCCAACTATTCAAGTAATGCTCTCATTTTTCATGATGTAAGTACTGATGACTACCAACCAACAGAATAGTCATTTACTTTCTCCATTATCAAGAAACGTTTGCCCAGTATTTATTTATTTATTTATTTATTTATTTATTAAAACATTTCTATGCCGCCCCATTTGCCGAAGCCTCGGGGCGGCTCACAACATAAAGTTAAAATACAAAAAATAGCAATATAAAATAAGTTGCCCTGGCCAGAAAAAATAAGCATAATATTAACAATTGAAATGACGCTTAAAATTATCCCTTGCTTCTGGAAGGCTTGAGGTACTTAGTAAACATACAGAGGACTGCAATGTAATATCAACTGTGTCTGATTTCTTCACTGGATTTTCTTCCAGATAAGTATGCATATGATGATATCCTTAGTATTTTAATGTAAGTGATATTGTTCTGTTGCATCGTTACAAAGAACACTCTACAAAACATGCTATTTTTAAGCAGACAAAGGAAATAAATGGATGGACTGTTTGGTCAGAGACTTTGAATTATATTCCTTGCCTTGCAACCAAAGTACTTGAATGCTGCAAGTAAACAGAGCATACTGATGCACACTTCATACATGTCCAATGATAGAGGTACTATAGAGGGAAACGGATTTCTGTTCATCTCTCTCTTTTAGCAGAGTATAAAAAAACTACCCACTGCAACAGATTGCCAAAACATTTTTTAACCCTCTTGCAAGGAAATGCTATTCCAAACTAGGAGAAAACTGGGGTGAATAATCCAGTCAACCTTTTTAGACCAATGTCCCACAGGGAGGTTTGTGCAAATAAAGAACTCTCTCCCTTTATAGGAAATTTCTAATTGTTTTCCCAGTATCACTTCCATTTGCCAAGTCATAATACACTGTAAAAACTTGCACTTGCCTTAAATATGCTTTGACACATAATTTGCTCAACTACACATTTGAAATGGGACAGTTGAATAAAAGATGGTTTACTCACCATGCTGATCACAGTCTACTCTAGCAAAGACAACCTGATTCTTATCTGGAAAGTCCTCCTTAATGACATTGGAAGCTTCCTCAAAAATAGGATGTAGCATTTGACTAAAGCGACACCTGTCAAAAGGGAGGACATCAACCAAAGACTATTCAGTTAAAATGAACATCTTGAAGGCTGAAAGTAGTACTAATGTAGATGCATCACTGATTAAAGCAGTAATTCTGCTATATTAGACATTATACTTCTCTATGGGGCATACTGAATGGGAGTACTGGCTTTGCCATCCTGCCAGCCTTGCCTTCCCCCTGGCTTGGTCTCTCCACCAGCCCCCTTGTCATCTTGTCAGCCTTCCTCTCCTGCCTGACACTGGGACTGGCTGGATTGAAGCACTGCTGGGAGAAGCTCCAAGGGTCACGGTCCTTCAAAGAGGACTGCCTGCAAAACCGTCTGTTGCAGATTCAATTGCTAACAGCACCCACCTGGCCTGACATGCAGCAGGACTACTTCTGCTGGCCCAGTGCAGGGCAAGGCAGTGATGTCCCTAGCAATGTGATGATAGCAATTCTCTCTCTCCATCTGACTCTAGTCTAGAGTGCTTGCATCTTGTGCTGGGCCAGTGGGACAGACTGTGGATTCTGTTGGTGTACCATCCACACCATGACCCAAACTGTCTCCCTACCTGAGTTGTCTCAGCTGCAATGTTGAGGTCTCCCAGATGCTGGTCCTGGGTGATGTCAACATCCATGCTGAACGTGTATTTTTTGGATTGGCTCATGACTTCATGGACTCTATGACAATCATGGGGCTGCCCCAACATGTTATTGGCCCAATACATGTAGCAAAGTACACTCTAGATTTGGTTATTTCAGCCAGGCAGGGGATAGTGATTTGATGGTGGGAGACTTTGAATCGGTCCCCTTGTGTCACCTCACTGCATGTGGAGATTTTGACTAACAGTGACTTTTCCCCTCTGCATGGCTGAAAAATTCATTAAAATGATCTGCTCCCAGAGGCTGATGGATCTGGATGGTTTCCGGAGGGCTCTGATGGGTTTTCTGGTTGATATGGCTGGTGGTCCTGTCAAATCCCTGGTTGATCTTTGGAACTCAGAAATGACCCAGTTTACACAATCACTTCTGAGTGTCCTCCATGTAGTAGATCTTATACAGTTCTGTAGTATACCCTGGAGTTGAGTGATGAAACCAATAAGGATGTGAATTGAGTGCAGATGGAGAAAAACTCCTAAGTGAATACAACTCAGTCCTGATCTGTTCTTATAGTTGAATATATTTGAAGGTAGTGAGAGTGGCAAAGAAGCACTATCTAGCTGCCTCCATTCAATCTTCCATTTGCTGCCCAGCACAGTTCTCCAGGATTGTCCAGGACCCATTACATGCTCGTCCCAAGAACATCTTGGAGCTGTCTAAGGCCTGCTATAATACATTCACTAGGCCCTTCCAAGCCAAAATCTCTTGTATTTACCAAGACTAGGACTCCGAAGTTATAGCAGTGGTATCAAGAGACATATCCAGAGCAGTCTGGTCTAATTATGTTGGATGAGTTCCAGTTAGTACAGCTCAAGGATGCTAACATGTTTGTGCAACCACATCCATACTGGATGCTTGCTCCTCCTGGTTAATAAAAGTCAATAGGGGAAAAACTGCTGGCAGAGCCAGGGAGATTATTAATGTGGCTTTATGAGAAGGACTCATTTCAAAATGCCACCCAAAACAAGTGGTGGTGAGACCACTCCTGAAACTCTCCCTGAAATCCAAATGAACTCAACATTTTTAAGCCAGTGGCAAACATCCCCTTCCTGGGCAAGGTTGTTGAACTCCACGCACTCTTGAATCAGACTGACTATCTGAATCCACTCCAGTCAGGGTTTGGACTTGATTTTGGCATGGAAACAGCTTTGGTTGCCCTGTAGGACAACCTATGCTGGGAGAGAGATAGGGTAAGTGTGATCCTGTTGGTTCTCTTAGACCTCTCAGCAACTTTCAATACCATTGACCATCGTATCCTTCTGGGATGACTGTCTGAGTTGGATGTGAGAGGCACTGCAATGCAGTGGCTTCACTACTACTAAGATGGTAGGGTCAAGAAGATGGTGCTTGGGGGATATTTCTCTGCCCCTTGGATCCTCCAATATGAGGTTCCTCAGGGGTCAGTCTTGTTCCGTTTGCTTGCTTGCTTGCTTGCTTATTTATTTATTTATTTATTGTATCGCATCGCATCGCATCGCATCGCATATATTGCCAGGGAGTCTACAATGTTTTACACACAGTAGATGATCTGGTGCCTGCTAGTCTGTTCAGTGGTGCACCATGTGGGGAGAACTAGCTTAGCACCGGTAGGCCAGCAATGTTCTTGTTGAAGTCAGTGCATCCTGGCCTTTTCTCCATTGATCCTCTGCCAAGTGTGTCCAGCTGGATCCAGTGCCAGTGCTTCCTTTCATCATGAATGAAACCAGCAGGTTTCCCACCAAGGATTGATGGCTCTTATTTATCTACTCGCAGATTGTATACTTTCAAATTGCTAGGTGGGCAGGAGCTGGAGTGAATGACAGGCGCTCATTCCATCCTGAGAGGCTGGCCTTGAACCGCTGGAACGCTGTCCATTTCTGACTGACAGCTGCAGCATCATTAAGCTGCTGCGCCACCGTGTCCCCTGTGCTATTTAACATCTACAAGAAACTGCTAAAGTCATCAAGAGTTTTGATGCGTTGCCATCAGTATGCTGATGACATGCAACTCTTTCCCTTTCTTCTTTCTTTCTTTCTTACTTACTTACTTACTTACTTACTTACTTACTTACTTACTTATATTGCAATTTATATCCTGCCTTTTTCCCACAAAGGGCTCAAGGCAGCTTACATCATTCTCCTCCTCCATCTTCAGCAGGTGCAGCTGTGGATGCGCTGAACCAGTGCCTGACTGCAGCAATCAACTGGATGAGGGTTAGCAAACTGAAGTTCAATCCAGACAGGACTGAGATGCTGTTGGTGGGTGGTTCTTTTCTGGGTAGATGGGTGGAATTCAACCTGTTCTAGATGGGGAGCAGGTTGTTTTGGGATGCTCCTTGAGCTGTCTTTGTCACTTGAGGCCCAGGTGGCTGCAGTGGCTTGGAGTGCCTTCTACCAGCTCTAGCTGGTAGCTCAGCTACATCCCTATCGGGACAGAGATAGCCTGATATCTTTGACCTACGTTCTGGTGATCTCTAAGCTCAACTACTGCAATGTACTCTACGTGGGGTTGCCTTTGAAGACTGTTTGGAAGCTGCAGCTTGTGCAAAATGTGGCAGCCAGATTAATAACATGGATCAGTCTGATCATATAACACCAATTCTGACCTGCTTGCATTGGCTGCTTATATGATTCCAAGTTCAATTCAAGGTGCAGGTTTTGACCTATAAAGTCTTACACAGCTTAGGACCACGATACCTGATAGAATGCCTCTCCTGACTTCCATATACCTCTATATTCCTATCCGTCCACTTAGATTATCTTTGAAAGTCCTCCTCCAAGTGCCTTCCCTCAGTGAGATCAAAGGGGAAAGGGCTAGGAAGAGGACATTCGCAGCAGTGGCACCTGGACTATGGAATTCACTCCCCAGGGATATCCGCCTGGAACATACTCTTCCTTCTTTTAGGCACCAGATGAAACCTTTTTTTAAACAAGTTTTTTGTTAATTTAATACAATAGTTTTATATTTTGTTATGGATTCTTTATCGTAATTTAATTTTGGTTAATTTATTGGTTGTGTTTATTGGTGTGCATGAGTATATTTTATTATGAGGTGTTCCTATTATTTTCTTTGTTTTACCATTTTATCTTATTAATAACTGTTTTATTGTAATTTATGTATGTTTTTATGCTGGTTTAGCATGCAAGCCACCCAGAGAACCTTTGGGTTATGGGGCAGCATAGAAATGAAATTAAGCAAACAAACAGACATATACTTGGCCACCATGATCAAGTTCTGCAGCTTTGACTGCCACCTCCAAGGGAGGCTTGGTGTCAACAAGAGCCTTTTCAGTGGTGGCCCCCAGTTATGGAATGAGCTCCCCACTGAGGTCTACCTGATGCCAACTTTACTATCTTTTCAGTGCCAGGAAAACACCATTCTCTACTGCAGAGCATTTAACTAGGGGTCTGCTGATTGTTAGACAGGGTCTAACTGGATCTTTTTAATATATAATTTCTTTTGATTTGTTTTTTTTAATTTTGTATTGCTGACTTTTTAATGTTTATATTTTAATTGGCATATTATATATGGTTTTTAGCTACATTGCTGTGAACCACCCAGAGAACTTCAACTGTTGGATGGTGTAGAAATGAAATAAAATAAAATGATACATATTTAATTTGGCAAATGTTAAATTCAATTAAAATTAATTTAATGAATCACCATCGTTTGAATCTTTTACAATGGTGACAGTTCTAAAAATGATCCTTATTTCCATATTTGTAAAACTGTATGACAACACATAGAAATACTTACCAATCAGCATAAAAATTCACTAAAGCAACATCGGCATTGTCTAAAGAAAAAAAGAAATGTTTTAAGTGTTGAGACAATACAAATTGAAAGAAAATCAGTATATTGACACTGCAGTTCCAGGAAGCGAAAAATATAGAATCTGGATTATCAGAGCCTATTTTTAATTACAGAACGTGAAACTATTCCTTTTCATCCACTCTAAAATGGCTTGTGCTACTAGTGTGATGAAGTTGTCACTAGACCTGATTTTCCACCAGCCAGTATAAGTCCCATTGAATGAAGGGTGAATGCTGTCTGGCACATGACTGATGCAAGCACATTTTTTAATGATCCAAACCACTTGCCCAAAGCTTTCTGTTATTAAGAAGCCTCCTCTAGTCTACAGATGCTACACGACTCTCCTAGTATTTTGTTCTTCAGTACATTTCACTGTGATCCAGAACTTCTTAGTTCAAACCTCACTTCAACCATAAATGCATTTAAGTGGCTTGGCTAGAGCAGGATTGAAGAACCTATGATCCTTCAGATGCTGTTGGACTCCACATCTCATCAGCCCTAGACAACATGGACAATGGACAGAAATTACAAAAATATAGCTGAACATGTGAAAGACCCAGGTTATTCAACCCAAACCTAAAATAACTACTTTGCAAAGTCAGCACTATCCCATCCTTAATATAATACTAATGAAACACTGTAAAGCTGCTTGGATTATTAAAATTATGTACATTATGATCTGTATATAGCTTTGGCTATGGGTGGTATAAAAATGTAATAATACTAAAATTTTTGAAGCTACTGCATTTAAATGTATGCATGATATTGAATAAGCACATTTTGCTCCCTCTCCCAGGCCCACACAGGCATAGAGGACTGGATTTTTGTTTTGAATATGCATTATGGAAATTTTCCTCATCTTCTCTAGCAGTTCTGGTGCTCCAAATACAAAGCTGTTTTTAGCCATTTTAGCCTTTCTTACCTGTGCTTTAGAATTATTACAATAGCGGCATTTAGATGTTTTTATGTCCAAAATCATTTAAACTCCCATACTGCATGAGCAGCTATAACCATTAAGGGACTGAAGATAAACATATTCTTAAACCTGTTCAATATTTTATTACTACTTTAGATTCTAAAGACCTGAATGAATTGTTTGAGGAAATCAAGCTTATCTATTAACAGACTCAAGAAAATGATTTCAGTACTTACTTAAAATATCATCTATATTTCCACTGTCAAGGCTTGTTATTTCACTTCTTGTTGGATTAAAGAGCCAGGACACCTGCAAAAGCACATGTGTTTTATTCAATAATTATTCTTTCTCTTTCTCACTCTCTCACACACAGAGTTCAACACATTCTAGAGTGACCATATGTTATATTAGCTAGGAAGGGGATTCTACACATTGAGAAGGCAGAGGATCTATGTTGTTGGCTTTATTCCTAAATATCATACCCTGATGTTGTCTCAGGAAAGTCTTTATGATATGGTTTCTATACAAACTGAAACCCTAATAGTACAGGATTCTCCACCATCTAAAAGCCTATCCATATAGGTTTGCCCACTTGCGGGTATGCAGATTATAGATATCTTCAATGCAAGAAAGGTATTTAAAAAGAGGGAATTCAAATCAAGTCCTCCTATTATATTTCATGGGAGAAACTGGGAGATTGTTGGGGAAGCATAACTTCATCTCTTAATCTGCCATAAAGCATGAAAACAAATTAACTGTACAACATCTAAAATAAATATTGAGCAGTAGCATTTTTTTTAGATACTAGATGTAGTTTATTCTTGCAATCATTTCACTTAATGTTCTTTTCTGGGGCCTGAATATTTCTGTTTTCTGTTTAAAAAAGCTAATTTTACCCAAGCTGAAGGCCACACTTGCAGAAACATGTCAGGCTGCTATCAAACTGTTTAAAAGCTACTATGTGTTGAGACTATTGTAAAATTTGAGGTATTACTATTCAGAACATATGGTCTAACCCATGGGTGCTCAAACCACTGCCCAGGGGCCGGATCCGGCCCGCCATGCCCATTTGGACGTGCCCATGCACGTGCCTGCTGCTGTCCACCTCGCCCCACACACGGGGAGGCAGCGCTTTGCTCACTTGGAGAAAACGATCTCCAAGCAAACAAGCCGCTGCCTCGTGCTCCCATCTCACCGTACGCACCTGCCCACGTGTGCCTCACCCCCCCCACCCCGCGCGGGCTGCGCGCACTGCCAGCACCACCTTTCCGGCCTGCGCCCAACACAGGCAGCTTTCAACTGGCCCCCAGGTGAAAAAGTTTGAGGACCCCTTGTCTAACCTAAGGAACAGACTTCTCTTCCTTCTAGCAAGAACTGTCAATTCTCTAAAAAATGAGAGCTTCATGTTCATTTCATCAGAATAATGCATATCCTTCACCAACAGAAACAGGATGAAATTCCAACCTTCACTGACTATATAATTGAAGCCTACAAAACATATGGGCAGTACTAGTATAGGATATGAAACAGAGCACTGAACAGAGGAAGAAATAAACTACAACTTATACTAGTTAATGCCAAGTGCAAAGGCAGCAGTTAAGTGTTTCTTGCTGGCAGCAAGTTGGTTTGGTTTCATGGAAGAAGGCACCATAACAATTTGACTGAGTGCCTTAAGTGCAATGCAGTAAGCACATCCAAAGTGAGAACAGCTTGGTACAGCTATGCCCACTGCAGTATTAACCACACTTGGTTTTGAATCTCATTAAAAACATAGTTAGCTTCTATAATGCAAGCACCTACCCTGGAGCTATACATTTGCGTTACATGACTGTAAAACTAACTTGATTCATGTGTCATGTACCTCAGTGAAAGTTTTTGAACACACTTTCCTTAATAGCTTCACTGGATTTCCTTCAAAACTCACTCCCCCATCTGTTTAGCAGGCACCAAATATAAGAAAAGCTCCATTGGATCAGTTTAAATGCCTAACCCGTTCAGCATTCTATTCCCACAAGCAAGACCTGGTATTTAGTAGCATACTGCTTCTAATGTTGGAGGCAATACATAGTTAGTTACCATGATTAGGTAACATGATTAATTACCACCAATAGCTTTATGCTTAATATAACTGGAGAAAAATAAGATATTAATACTACACTGAACAGTAAGGTCCTTTATCTATACCATGGGTTCTCAAACTACGGCCCGTGGGCCAGATCCGGCCCGCCATGCCATTTATCCAGCCCGCCATAGAGGTTTTGAGCTCGCTGCGCACGCGTGGCAAGGCAGTGGCTTGCTTGTGTGGAGATCGTTTTGGACTCGGCTCAGAGAAAAGGATCTCCGTGCGAGCGAGTAACTGCCTGTGTGTCCAGCGGCAGCTTGCTCGCACGGAGATTGTTTTGGACTCACTTGAAGAAAATGATCTCTGAGTGTGCCTCCCCCCGCCCCCCCACCCCCTTGGCAGCACGCGCCCATCGCTGGAACCTTTCAACTGGCCCCCTGTTGAAAAAGTTTGAGGACCCCTGATCTATACAATAGAGGACAGTGCATTATTCTGCTGTTGTCAAGTTATAAAGTTGCATGTTGGATGCATTTCTCTACTCTTCTTGTCTTTTTTGGGAACCAATGTTCCTTTGCATCTTCATGAAGACAAAAAAGCCAAGTACTAAACGCATTCATTATTATTCTACCTCTTTGCTGCTGATGAAGTTCAACTCCGCATTAATAGTACCTTATAGACCAAGACACCTTATTCTAGTGTGGATTTAAATCACTAGTCAGTAAAGACTAGATTTAAATCATGGTTGTCTATATACAGTGGTAACGCAGCTCATGAATGCCTCAGTTCATGACCAAATTGGGTCGCGAACAAAAATTTCATAAAAATTTTGACTCAGATCGCGAACTTCGCATAGGGTGGCGACCCAATCGCAGCCATCTCCCCACCCCTCCGAGTGGGGAGATGGCTGCAATCATGCTGGGGGTGGGGGTGGGGGTGGGGGAGATAGCTGAGATTGCACCTGTCTTTCCTGCACGAGCGCAATTGCAATCATGGCCAACTCCTCCTCCCAGAGCGCCCGCGTTTGCGCCCACCTCTCCCCCAGCGCACCTGTGTTCGCACCCACTCCCCCCCCCGCACGTGTGCAGGGATGGCAGGCACTATCACAGTCGTGCTGGGGCAGGGAGATGGCCACAATCTTTGTTGTTCTTTGTCACTTTGCTTCACATTTTTCTGATTAAAAACCATAGTTACAGAACGGATTAACCTTATTTACATTGAACCTTATGGGGAAATTTAACTTGGCTCACGACCAATTTTGGTCACAACCAGAGTCCTGGAACGGATTCAGTTTGTGCGCCAAGGTACCAGTGTAATTTGCATGCATGCCTGGCTTAACCATAGGTAGGGGAAATTCATTAAATATTCGTATTTCTAAACTGGGTCTCTTTTACAGTCTGCTCCATTATTGGTTTTCTTCTTCAGGCAAAAAACAGTATGATAAACCTCAGGCTATACACAAAAAGATCCAAAGACTTCTGGAGTATTCTGCTCAAAACTTTTCACTTTTATTTTTGCTGCCCTCCAACCCCACCATTAGCTTCTTGTGCAGTTCTATTCCACTCTCAAACTTCTTCTAGTCATTGAATTTTTTGAAACTTAGCACATAAGTAAGGTGTACATAGATTTGCAACGGAACAATGGAATTAGGGTCTTTTTCTCTGTATGTTTATTTTATAGCATTTTTTCTGTGAAGAAGGGGCATGTGATCTCTGCAGTCAGAAATTCAGTTTTGAGAACTGTAAAACCAAGCATCTATGATAATATCTTGTGAACTGCCCCGAGGCTTCGGCAAAGAGGGCGGCATAGAAGCTGGCTAAATAAATAAATCTTCTAGGATAGAAAAACTGCCCAATAATCTTACAAAAACCTCTGGAAGAACATGGCATTGTGAATGGATTAATGGAATTCACTTACCAAAAATTTTAAATGAATATATAGCCTCATACTCCATAACTAAAAAATAATCCTTATCTCATGATGAATAACCTTTGGACTATAATGTATCTTAAATAGAAACCAATTTTAGATTGATTTTTGAGGAAAAATCTTATTTAAATAAAAATTGGATTTAAATATAAAAATCCAATTTAAATTAAAAAATCCAGTTTTTTATTTGTATCCACCCTGCCTTATTTTATGACCGGCCAAGACATAAGATCACTTGGCAATAATTCTACAGGCCAAAAACATGATTTGAACTTTCTGATGAGTTATAGCCTTGGCTTTTACCAGTAGAAAACTGCCAGTGTATGGCAGACGAAACTAAAACAAAATACCTAAAAAGTGAATTTCTTGTTACTGTTTGCTGTTCAATAAAATATGGAGACAATGTTTAAGAAGGTCTTATTTATTGTTAATGCATTACTAAAGCATATTATAACCCCTTTGCTATTCTACAGAATATCAAAACTCAGCTATTCATAAATAGCTAAAATGCAATATATATGCATGGGATGATGGAAA